CTCTCTCTCTCTCTCTCTCTCTCTCTCTCTCTCTCTCCATGACAAACAACATCACTGACGCACTTGTGGTTCTTATTCCACGTTGATGCATGTGGGAAAAAAAGGGTGATGGCTCCAAGGCCAAAATACGAGGATCTGTGCAGGTCTTAAAGCCGCGGGAAAGAAGGACAAGTGCCGGAAGAAATCGAGGGCCGAAAAGAAGCAGTCGAAAGAGCATCGCAGAAGCGGCGCCGGTCCCTCTGCGAAAACGGAGCACAAGCGCAGCTGCAAATCCGGATCGAAAGTTACAGTCCCTTCGAGTGCACGGGAGATTTCAACGCTGAAAGAACGTAACGAGTCGCCCCACTCGACCCCCGTCCGGGGAAAGCGCGGTAGCGGCGCCGAGAACCGTCCGCCAAGGGCCCCGGAAAAAAAATCGCGGGATGATAGAAGCGCGACTACGCACCGCAGAACAAAAAAGAGAATATCCTACAAAGACGATAGAGCAGTGGAGACAATCGATATTAGAGGGTCTGACGACAGGCACAGCGGACCCCAAGTGAAAGAAGAGGAGGAACACGACCGTTCCGCGCCAGAGAAGTCAGATGGTGCGGAGGACGAGGAGCCAGGAAACGAGGGAGACGACAACGATTCTTCCCGCAGACAATCGCAAGACACCGATGAGGACGACGACAGCGACGGCAAGTCGGCCAACGAGAGAACAGGCGAAGACCAGAGCGCCGCTTAGGAAAGAGGTGGTTCGCCATTTCCTTCGAGGACGCTGCGCAGAGAAGGAGAACGGCAGGCACGCAATGACAGTGTTACCGAGGAGCGTGTCGGTAACAGACAAATCGTACAGCACGTCAGCGCCGCCGGAAAAGGTAAAAAACCCCGCGTCGCACTGACTCCCCTCCCACTCCGATCACATAATCCCGTGCCCCCACGCAGTGCACGCCTTTACACACGGAGAAGTGTCTTTGTAAACGCACAGCTGATAGCCGAATCTTCAATTTTGCAAGTGCTGTATTCAAAACAAGGCGCTGAGTTGTTAACACTCTCCTGTGCGTTGTGTCTTCTGTTTCCCACCGATCGCAACGTCACGAACGAAAGTGCACGCAAGCGGCGGAGCCGTGCAAGGACCGAAGAACGAGGGCGCCGCATTCGCGAAGAAAATGAAGGGCAAGCTGTTGCGTTCCATCGCCAAAGCCTTTGCCTTCCTTGCGGCAAATGACGCAACTCTGTACCCGACAGAGGACGTGTTTTTCGCGGCGGTGCAAGCGACGGCGAAACTGGCAGGGGAGACAGCAGAGGAAGGGCTGCGGTCTTACATAGCAGAGTGCGGGATTCGAGCTGTCATAGGGGAATGCAACAGAATGATGACGACGATCCGCGGAGAGATTACATGGCAGCTGAAACATTGGTTTTAGGCTGAAAAAGGGATTCCGCTCGTCGGATCGCAGCAAACGGACCACCACCTCCCCGCTCGCAACAAGATGTGCACCGAGATGAAGGAGAACAAGACGTGGAGACGGAGCGGCGACGATCCGTGGGGCGCCTCCGCCTTCAAGACGACACTCTTAAAAGTTTTTCAGATGAGGAAGGAAGGCCGGAACCTGGGCGTCACCCTGCAGCAACTAGCTTTTGCGGAGATGGTCATTCAATGTGAGATAGAACAGACAACGAAGACGACACGAGCTGCGGAGCAGATAGAAAAATTGGTATCTATAAAGCAGGCAATCGTCTCATCTCTCTGTAGCCGAGACACGGTAATGAGTTTTTCCGTCTTCAAACTGGACCGTTCCGTATCCGTGGCTGAGAAGGCAGCAGCGCTCTTTCGCTCTGGCAC